ACTTGTCAAAAATCCCAGCTCCCCAGCTCCCCAGCTCCCCAGCTCATGGAAGCAAATGTCCCAACACGCAGCAAAGGAGCTCACAGCTGCCTGCAGAGCTGCCCTTTAAAATGCTCATTTCAAAACGAGTCTTCCTTTCACAGGGACAGAACAGAGGAGATAGGATTTTTGACAAGTAACAGGGAAAATATTTGGGGACAGGGCACGTATTTAACCGGTTATCCCGTGTACCTCCTAACTGATCCATAATCGCCCTGCTATATTAATGAAGGCATGCACATCTAGAATTCCTGCAGGAAACACACTTAGAATTTGTTTTCCTCTTATAAATTGTTGCATGATGCTAATGCACATCTCTCTTTTTCTAACATACTGTATCTAACCCTTACTTAGTACTATTTTACCTGACACATAACCAGTGAAAAAGTTTACCAGTTTAATATATAGTCCCTCCACTGATGTTTCCTTTTCATCTCTGTTTGCTTCGATTAAAGCTAGTGTGATGTGCTGGACAATACAGGGGTGGGCAAAAGTAGGGTAATAATAAATAGCCCAATAATTAACAAATCAGTCCTAATATAAGAATAAACTCTGTTTCGCATACTCACCACTGTAAGCCTACTTCTTCCCACCCCGGTATGTGGATTTTTTTTGCACGTTCATAATGAATAGTCCCCATTTGACTGTCGGCTGAACGCGCGATGCCAGGTGAAGGAGCCCACACGCTGCACTGTGGCCCCGCCATGCGACATGAAGGGGGGGGGCGCGCTGGATGTGAGTTACCATTCGACACGGTCGGTTGCTGCTAGCGGCCAAGTGTGCTTTCCCTTTGCTGTCTGCTCCAGTTTCTCCTCGGACGGGGCGGGAGAGCACTCCACGTTCAGGTCACAGTGTTTGCTCAGAAATAGTAGTACAGTTGCAGCTGTGTTTGTTGGAGCAGGAGACTAGTTTAAATAGCATTACCGTTTATCCAGTCCATTAACAGAACTCTGTAAAATAATACCGACTCTGCATAAACTACAGGACAGTGTAATAAAATTACAAGCACTTGTTGACAGATGGAAAGTGTAAGTGGAGGGAAAGTGGAGGGCCCGAGGTTGTAGGTTGAAGGAGACAGTCCGTGGTTTTCCTTCCGTAGGTAGATACTTCAGTGTGGCCTTTGCCCCTCCTTCCAAACTGAGGTGGTGTTTTTATTATCAGTTCAGGAGTGGAGAAGAGTCTTTTCAGAGCAGCCTGGAGCTGGTTAATGGACACGTTTCCGTGGCTCTTTGAATCGCTCGATTACGATTGATTGAAATTTGTGAGTAGCAATTATATATATAAGTAGCATATGCAAATCCTCCCGATAAATGTAACCTTAAAGGTGACTTACCAGTGAGTGATTCACACTTTTCAGCTTGAGTTTACAACTGCTGAGCCTGGCTCGTTAGAGAGGAATTTCATTGGCAGGGGTGCGGTGGAGTATTTGGTTATAAATATTTGCTTTGTGGTTTTCGGTTTATTTCTTTGAGTATTATTATATTTACCCAGGCTTCTAACATAAGCTTAAGTATCCAACGCATGTAGCACAAACTCATTTTTCACTTTGCATCTACCAAAACAAAACAAAACTAACCAAAATAAATACATAGGTCCCAGTGGTTCATTTTCTTTACTTCTTTGAATAAAAGCTTTTTTATTTCTTACTCACAAGTGGCATTTTATGATCCACAGTGAGCTTTGGAGCCATGAAATTATCTAACATTAAAAACAGTCATTTTAAATCCAAGGACTCTTTTATGCCCTGGTGACTGCTTACCTGAGACAGACAGATTTTGGCTACTTAATTTGATTGGTCAGGTCAATTTATTTGCTATCATATAGGATCTTAGATTCTCAACGTTGGTTTAGATAATAATGATCGGGGCTTTTTTAGAGGGAAACTTCACTTTTTGTTTTATGAAGTTAAAAATTAATTTGCAAAGCAAAACACACATATACAATTATGCATATTTATTTCCCTTTTGCTTAGTCCTTGAGAAGGAGCCTTAGTTTTTGTTTTTTA